ATGCCCGTCGCAACATCATAGACACTTTCCAATGTCAATGCGTTATCAGGCAACAGGCAGGGCTGAATGCGAAGGTTTTTCACGCCTACCACCAGACGATCCCGGATCATGTCATTCCGGTAGTTACCGAAATCACAATATTCTGTCAACTTCAGAAGCTCGGCAACGAAGGAGACAACTGATTTCCTCTCACCCGGGACTCGGATATTGAATTTAAATCGCTGCATACTAATTGATGGTTCTGGATTATAGTGATTGGAAAGCAATATGACAAGTTCAGTAAATAGTTAGTGCATGGCAAATCGGGAGTCACCAAGCTGCGAATTAACTCATATGTTTCTGAACAACGGATACTCAGCAGGATATTCACTTTACGGTTGTCGCTGACGATTTCATTGTCGGCGAACAAGACAGTTTATACGCTCGATGCAATGGTTACAGGAACCAAATCCCTCAGTGTGTTCTTCCAATCTTCCAATAGAGACCAAGGGTTCGAAAAGCCGTCGCCAATATTATAAGTAAGAAAGGAGACAGCTGTAATGTGTACATACGACCAAATCACTGCTTTGTTTAATAACATAGACATTTATTCACACACCTGAGTAATGTGCATGACCGGACAGACCGTGGCTCGTGATAAACAATCACAACAGTTTGCATATCTCTTGTGCAATAACTCGGAAACATCTCTGGCAAGTATTCAGCAATATTCAGGCATTGTGGTAGACATCAGAAGAAAAGCGTTTCAAACTTTATCCCATCACCCTGCGTTGAGTTGTTAAAGTGGTCATCTCTGAATAGCTATCTAGTCCGATTACCCACAAAACCCACTTTAGTTCCTGCTTTGTTGCATCGGTGAAATTTAGCATGCGGTAATCGGAAAACTGGTGAAACCCGCTTCACGACCTCCATAAAGTTCATCAAATATGATGTGTAGGGTGGTAGCGAGAATCTGCTAGCCTTCATCAGAGCTGGATAATGAATATACTGTTCCCCGACTGTTGCAGTTCCTCTTAGGCCTCCATTCCCCTGCAAGTAGTGCAAATCCCTTGCACAGTTATTCAACTCGCACAAGGAAAAGCAATTCAATTAGAAAGGTAAATTTCATCGGATCACCAAAAAGATACCAACGGTATTTCGTGTGCTCGATGGACTTCAACAGAAGGTTTACGTTTGCGCATCTTCCACATGCACAGCATGTGTTTCGAGAATAAAGGACAGATCTTTTCCATTGTGCAACAGCACCACCTTAAGTTTGGAACAGTCTACCATCAATCTCCACTCTTGTGCATCCCCAGTTATTTCCAAGGTAACCATGAAGCACACAATATCAGAACAGAATACTAGCTTACCTTCCTTTCTAAAGAGAGGCTCCAACTGTCAGTGGTGTTAGTGGTGATGTACAGTCACTCTGACATCTTCTAGTGGCTTCTACTGTTGGAATTTTGAATCCGGAATAGATGCTGCTGGAGTTTTTGTAATCTGAAGTCCTTCATGATGTATAACTGTTTTCAACGCAGGCAGAATGTTGTGAGATACTCTACACGACTTCTTTCGTTTCGTTATCCCGCCGGGAAGAGAAGGAGCCAGGAAGAAGTGGCAGTCATTGGAATGGTTTGTCGGTTCACTCCACATCATGGGGACTGCAGTGACGCCTTGTCTTGGTCACCTCAATGTTGCACTTTTACTAAAGATAGCGTCCTCACTTCACTTGCGCAGCGATAGTCTTCTCCCGACTGGTCAATATCATGTCCTCACGAATGTGGAGGAAATGGTCCGTCGTCAGTGTTCTACGTTGTACTTATTATAATTAATTAAACAGTGAACTTGCTAGGCAATAACACCTCAAACTATATCTCACAAAAGTTAAAACCTAAATACCCCACCTTTGCCATCGGGCTTAATGCAATATGCTGCTGACATCAACTTACTTCACCAGCATCCCGACACTAGTACCGCAATGCATCACAAACTCACGCAATAAAATCCGAATTATGTGTACATGATGGCCCCATACGATGTGGTGCAATATTGCGACATCATAGGCTTTGTTTAAGTGTTTCAGTCCAACTAGGCGTATTTATGCCGCGAGACACTGAAAATGTACTATATGCAGTATCTTCTAAGCGAGAGCCAACACATATTTTTCATATTCAGCACACAAAAATAGCAAAGATTAGGATGTTTTTAAGTCAGCAACAATTTCATTGTTTATCAGTGTCTACAACAGCCATGTTTCCCATGTAATATTTAACGATAATAATACAGCACCGTTAGGACAGCTGACTGCACATGTATACGCAGTGTATATTTTGAATACCGACTCTCGTAGTGTCAGCAAATTGAATCGGTGGGCCCAGGGGTTGTTGAACTGACCGCGCTCGTCTTGACTAGACTTGGTCACACGCATCCGAATACAAGCTAGCGTATGCATCAATCTGGACACTAAGGATGAGTGATCGCCAGTTACCAGGATTCCCGCCGGTAGCTGTGTGTGCAACAGGCTTGGTTGCATTGACAGAGGGTGGGAACAAATGACAGCGCCAGACCCTGACTACTTCTTATTGCAACTATGGTCCTGTTATTACGAGGTCAACCGAATCCATGGGAAACGCCCGGTGCTACACTAAACTGGAATTCAAGTACTATCAGCTTTATGCACCAACCGACATTATACGTGAATCTCCCAAAGCTGTAGCACAATTGTCGGTGCTTAGCACCGGTGCCGCTAACGGTTTGTACATTGGTACTTTGGCAGGTGACTCACGGAAGTGGCTAGTGGTTGAGGCTTGGTGATGCAAACACTGCGAAACGTTGTGGTGGAGCGCACCGAGCAGCGTCTGGAGCATGGTGATGGTAAGGATGACGACTGAGTGCTGGATGCATGCAGCTTATTTGGATGTGAGCCAGGAAACTATACCATATCTGAATTGCTAATGAGCAGTGGGGATTTTGGTAAATTCAGGTAATTCACCATGGTCCACTGCCAGTCAGCAAGCTTTGAGAAGTCAGGAAAAACACCGGCCACCGGTGTTTCGACTTTCTGGGTCTCGTCAGTGCTATACCACTGACCCTATATATATATATATATATATATATATATATATATATATATATATATATATATATATATATATATATCAGTCCGTATAGCTTCCAAGTCCTTGTACCGTGCCTAGGCGCTATGCGGGGAGTCCTAGCTTGTGGGGTTAGCCACTGCCTTTTGCACAGTTGGTAACTGGCATGGCAGTGGAAGATGAGCCGGGCTGTACAATAGTCAACTGTCAATCATGCAGCTTCACGGCTGTCACCCATGGCAAAGTGGCACTAGCTGCTGGCATATCTAAATTGAATGCATCCTTAACGCAATCGCTTTCATCCGTAGTGCAGCAGGTTGCATCCTTAGAGTAAAAGCTATTATCCGATTGTCACAAATATTGCATCCATGATGCCCTGAGTGCTCAATCGCTAGCAGCTAATAGCATTCGGACGATATGCAGCATGGTTGTTTAACCTAGACGCAGCCGGGGCATATAACCATCGGTTGAGGCCTTACTACACGAACCTCAGCCATCCGCTCGTCTAGGTGCACACCAGCATTGGGCAATAAAAGCGTTGCAAACACTGGCTTGTTCACGAACTAGCTTCAAACCCCAAAGCCTGTGATGTGTAGGTAAGGCAAAATAAACACATTTCTGGATGAACGCTGACGCGGCTGTAAACTTGTCCCGAACACGGGGTCAGGCCCTTGGTTTTATCGAGCCTATCGTGAGTGTAGGCAAATCGGTCTCACAAAGAGGGCCTGAGAGGGCAAACGCGATGTCCGTTTGAGGCGAGGGATAGGTGATGCACAAATTATGGCTTTTGTGCTAAGGATGAAAGCGATCACGTTAAGGATGCCACCAATTGCGAAATGGTACAGTATGACCTCTTTCATGCGAAGAACTTGCTTAATGAACCAACGAAGGGTGAACATTCAGGGCACACCAAGGTTGTGCTTATGCATTACGTTGCGGGAGCTTGCAACCTGTCAGAAATGCTCCTGATCCAGATCCTTTTTTTCATTCTTCAACTCCCCAGTCCTTCAACGTTACAGCAAGTTTTCTGTGCGGATACGTCTTTGCCTGGTCCTGAGTGTTTCTACGCCTGTGTGTGTGTATGTTCACCTCAACCCTGCTTCACCGCCCGTGACTCTGCGACCACAGAGTGCCCCTGACCGAGTGATGACCCCCTTCCCATAGCCGCACATCACACCTCTCTGACTCATGTGGCCATCAATTGCACAGACCGTATTCCCTCGTCCAGTCAGTAACAAACGTCTGTCTACTAATCGACCGACTGGCTCTGAGACAAATATTCCAACCCGTCCACTTACATCTGGCATGACTGACAACGTTCACGATTTAGTGTTCATTGGCAGTTTTGGGTGCTTATTCGGCGATATTTGTTATCGATCTAAGAGAGCAAACAATTGCGTTTTGTCATCGTATCTAATTACTGTTCCGTACTCTGCACTTTACATTGGGAATCCACTGCATGTTTTGAGCAATTGGGACAGCCGCACATGCGTAGGTCTACTGCGCTTCTGCCGTTGCAAACCAGTTAAATGTGACATTTATTAGGATGGCGAAGCCAAAGTGGAATTAGCGTCGGACCGATTGATGACACGAATGGACGACACCAAATAGCAGTACTCTCTACTTATATTTTTCAAAGCAGCAGAATATAGCAGAAATATTGTATACTCGCGGAGGAGGTTGCAAAGTGGCCTATTTATACGTATTGCCTTAAGCAAACGGTTGTCTTCATGGAAATCTTTTTTGTGAATGTGTTCATAAATATAGAATGAAGTTACCCAGACACCTGTAGGATCCTATGTGGAACTCCACATATGTTTATCTGTAGATGTCATATCATGTGTGAATATTCAAGTAACGCAAATGTGTCCATTGAAGGAGACTATTTTCTCATTTTGGGTTGTTTTACGGGTCTCTCCCTAGGTGAGCAACGTGCAGGCCACCGTATTTGTACGTGATGCTTGTGCCCCGGGCTTCCGTTCTTGCAACTCAAGGGAGTGCGTCGAGTCAAACAGGTTTTGCGACGGGAACGCTGACTGTGCGGATGGTTCCGACGAAGATCCGTCAAAATGCCGTAGGTGTTCGGGACTTGTTTCCATCCTCCACACCATTTCCGTCTCCCAGATTAATTATAACGCTCCACTGCACTGCCTTTTTCAGTTGACTGCGCACCGAACGAGTACGCCTGTGAGGTTTTAGAAGGAAAAAAACCTCTAAGGAATTGCTATCTCCAATACTGGCACTGCGACGGAGAGGACGACTGTGGTAACAACTTCGACGAATCAGCCTGTCCACGTAAGTATACCAACGCCGAGTGAAAAATGCTATCCATCTATGCGAAGCCCGTTGTGGCCTGCTGCTTAGAATCAGGATGGTGCACAAATTCCACCATCTTTGTCTGATGCATAGGACGTACCTAGCAATTGGACTGAGTTGCTCACCGATTACTAGGAGAAATTAATTGGTTTTCACGATCTTATCCATTCACCTTTCTTTAAACTCATAAAACCTAAGTTTTCACCATGAGCACCTAATTTCGCGAACTGAACTGTTAACATACCTAGTAAAATGAACTACACGAAATAGGGTGCATATCTGTCCAAATTCACTGGCACGAGTATCCATCAACTGTGACTGGCACAATGAAGGCTATTTTCCAGAGAGTTACATCTGACAGGACCTTAAAAGGTCTCCCTTAATCTCGAACTCCTACTGCATGTGTGGAGCGCGACAGGTAACCTTAATCTAGAACAGTATTTGAGTTAAAGCATTCTTCGCGTCTTCCAAACTAAACGTCAAGCGATTTTCTTCGTCTTGGTTTTTGATGCATCAATTCCTGAAATCAAAGCGTAGTTCCGACTTTCTTTTTTCAATGAGACAGCCACAACGCGGAACAGTTAGATTGCTTTTATTCGTTACATCCAGTTGATTCCACTGCTAAGTGAATGCGATGGATGCCACGTGCAACCAAACGTAGCTCTGAAGTTGGCATCTTTCGAGCAGGTCCCGTCAATTCTTCCGCTCCATTCATGTACTGTACATCAACGCCCGAATAAAAGAAGAATACTAGGCTCAGTTACCCAGAAGATATGGAGTGCAGTCTTTCCAACTTGTACTTGGATTTCAACTTCGTTCCACGGCTATTGTGATAACCAGGCTAATCTTCCTTTAGTGTGAAACCACTCTGACATCTATGCCTGAGGAATAGAGTAGCATTTAGGTAGTACATGTCACTTGGACGCATTGCAACACGCAGGTGGGACCGCAATCCACTTTACAGCAAAGACTGGACAATACGGTCACTTAGACATTAACTGAAACGGAAAAATATTGCAAATTGCTCGCCCGTAACCCTTCACCTCTTAACTGTTATAGACCCCCAACATCAAAGAATCAAACCTCCTTCATCTATATCATTTCCCACCTATGTTCCTGAATAGTTTAAGTAACTTCGTTTGATCATAAAGCGAACTAGTTTGTTACCCTCTCAACTTCTTGGCTTTGGCATCGGCCGTGATTACGCGCACCGTCGTACAGTGGCTTCATTGTTCGGCCGGCCTCAGTCAACTGGAAATAGGGGTGGGTGTTGAGAAAAATGTAGCCGTGTGTGGTCGGACCTCGTCGCCCGCGCGATGAAAGGGTGGGAATATTATTGTCTGAGGACACCAACTTCTGACTAGGATGTAAGCTGCGTCAATAGCACAGCCGATAGTCGGTAAAGCAAACCGGAATACTTCGGTCAACGATTATGACGTAAATGGCCACGGTCTACGCGCTTGCCCGTGGTAACTATTCTGGGGGGAACAAAATTGCGTTGCGTGTGGAGTGGCCAGGTCACAGTTGTCTGTGGTGTGTGACCGTGAAGCCGCATGTGAACCACTGCACATCACCAAGCTGAGTGATTTCATGACCTGTGCACACTAACACAATGAATCAGTGAATCATTCATGTCGCGGCAGTGCGGGAGTCGGCTCGCGACTATTTACACATCAAAAGATACACCGTTGTGCTTCACAATCGATATCACCCAACATAGGTTTATGGAGAATTCAGTCCAAAATGCAATGACCAATTGAATTGGTTGAGCATCCCGGGAAAAGCGCTGAGGAAGGTGTTCCTCATGCTCCTAGAAAGGCATCTATGGATCTGCTTTCGTCACGTCGCAGTCCTGGTTGTTGCACGTTGATCTTTGTCTCATTGATGAATATAAGCATCTTCCGACGTGGAATACGATTACAATTTTCAGAACGACAAAAATTGAAGGTATACTTGTCCCATCTGTTCAACTTGAAACAAAACTGTCTTTTACAATCAGTAACGAAATGCAAGAAATGGCGTTTGCTCCTATTCGCCCTTGACGCCATTGTCGAATACTGTTTCCTAAGGTTGAGACATCCGTAACATGGAACTGATGTGGCGCACAGACAGATATTGCTTGATAGACATTTGAAACTCGTGTTTTGGGGTAATTTGTTGCAAAGCTTGGAGAAGGCAGTGATAAATAAGTTTTCTGTCATTCTTATTTTCGTCCTTGGAATTGTACTCTCGTAAGTTACATCACGTGTGGAATATTCGCCAGCCTGCGTAATGGGCAGATTGGACTCTGCGATGTGAGCACGGTAACGCGTGAATCTGAACGGAAAACGCAGGTTTGATCTCATTGTTCGCGACTAAAATGTTTGCGGTCCAAGAACAGTACAGCGCTCACTGTAAGCAAGTGTTGTGGAATAACCAATTATCCTTTTGGTAATACAACAGATTTCGCTCAACAGCCGTTTCGTCTAACTTGCGCATGCTTGGGCTAACTAACGGGCAATACGAAATGGTCGGCAGTGCGGATACTTAGTGCAACCGGAGGCAAAGTCATGAACGCTATACGATCCATCGATTGGAGCAATCCTTTTTACGCAGTATCTGTGGCATAGGTTCCGTGTCTTAACAGAATCAGGTAAAACAATTATGCATGTAAACATATTCCCAAGCAAAGCATGTTAAAAGCAGATGTTGCATTGCTTGTTTCGCAAAGTAAGGACGCGTTCGTCTGAATTTCTGCTTGTTTACATGCAAGTGATACCTTTTCCAAAGGTACTTCTTGGTAAACCTCAAGGACACTCATTCGAGAAGTGGGAGGAAAAATGTGGCAGAAGCACAAGTTTCAGTGCGTGCTGTAGGAAGGATACATTGCATTCGTGTTTCAAGCACTTCAAATGTTGCTAAGACCAGCTTTCATTAATGTATTCGGACGATACCGTAAGATAAAGGTCTTTACGGCATTCGATATTGTGAGAAAGTTGCTGGGGCTAATCGGAATGTGGGAAAGTTGTGATGTGAGCGTTCCTGTAGGGGCAATTTACCCCACAGATTGGCAAATCTCATTAAAAACAAAGTCGATTTATTTCATTACGGGCAAGTTGTGAGGTTAGTAGATAGCCCCATTACTGGTGGGATAGTGAGTGGTTCTCGATAATTCAAGGGTGTAGCTGGCTGTAAACAGGAGTGGTTTCTCAGCCGTAGTAGCCAAAAAGAGTCCAGTCAGTGGTGATGATATCGATCGTGGTAAATCAGGGTTAAGCATTAACCCTTGACCAGCTTGATAAATGAACGTTGGAGGTTTTCTATAACTATCCTGTCTTTCCATCTTAATTGGCTGGGTATGATAGTACCATAATCCAAGGTAAGCCGCATTATGAGGTTGAATAGTTCAAGCCGGTTTTGCAAGTAAGAAAAATGTTCCAGTAATCTAGCCTGATAGTTGTCTGGCTTTTGCGACTTGGTAGAGAATATGTTCAGAGAAATTGAAGGGGATTTGAATATCTGATTCGCAAATCCCTGACTGAATCGGACATTCTGATAATCGTCTCGGCAAGAGTGATGGGGTCTTCCGGGATTCGACATCTATACGTGAGTTTGTGAGATTTTCTTGCGCAGAATTTCACAAACGGACTTGTGCTCGATGCCTTCAGCGCCGATAGGTCGTTATGTGCGTTACCCTGTGATAGAAATGAGCAGAGTAGTTTAACATCATCCGCGAATAAAAACGGGCATCCATATCTTACGGGATCATATATATTGTTTATGTAAATTAGGAAAAGTAGCGACCCAAGCACGCGTCCCTTGAAGACATTACTGCTTATTCGTTCCGACGTGGAGTACTTCTGCCCCACTAAGACCCTTTAGCTCCAATCTATTTTTGTCGGTGTACGATTACCGACATTTTTCTAATTGTAGCTTTTGCTACGTTATTTGTAGGAATGGTGTACAACTGTGTCAGCAATGAAAAAGCATTACCAGCCTGTGTAATCCTACCTTAGCGTATCCCATCAGGACCATGGGAGAAGGATGGAATCAATCGAGCGATGTGTTCTCCGATTTTTGCCGTGGTGAACTCCACATCACATACTTGTTCAGTGTGTTCGATGTAAGCACCTTTGTCAATGGTGTAAGCTGATGCACTGAAGAAGAAACAAAATTCGCGCTGTGTGTTTTACACCGTTGCCAGGTCGTCAATGTATGGTCCGTGCTGTAAGACGAAATAGTTTAGAGCAGGCATTCTTAACCTTTATTCAGCCGTCGCCCCCATTTAATCCCTTCCATTTCTCTTGGCCCCCACCCTTGATCACCACAATTTCAGCAATCCACTAGGCCTAACAGACGTAAACAGGGATCTCCATTGGTCATATTTGTATCTTGTTTTGATGCCTAAATTGTTAATGTTGGTGTCAGTGCTCTTTCGCTGTAAAACTCATTGGTTAATTGTGACAAGTTCAAGGCAAGATTCATTGTGCGTCAACATCAAGCATCTTCTCAGTAATAACACAAAGGTCATCATTAATATTTAATATTATATTTCCTTATTGTTGACATTTGAATGTAAGGCACGTCATGAGTTAAGATGTGTAGTAAATTGGTAACAGTATGTTCTTCGTGATATTAATGCGGGCCTTGAGCCCGATGTCTTTGAGCAAGCTTGCTTATGTACCGCTCTAGACTTCACTGATAGAGTCGCAAATCTCCTCTTGCTGTCATGTTCAACCAGTTTACACATTTTGTCCGAAAAACCACTCTGCTTAGCTCCCATTCAACCAAGCATGTAAATGGAAAAGCAAGAAAATCTAGTTCAGCTATTTTCCGCAGTATGGGATGACTGTTAGAGGCATTAGTAATTATCCAACAACATTATCCAACAATATGGCGTGAATTTGGATCTTGCTAGTGTGTCACTTTGAATCTCTGCGAGACTTTCCTGGATTACAATTCTAACAATGCAGGGCTGTACATCAAATTGACCTAAAATC